ATCAAAACAAATTACAGAAGAAACTTGTGGCCAATCCATGACGCATTGATAAACACACAATCCTTGTCCTCGTCTTCTCTCTTAGAGATAAAAAAAAGTTTAAATGAAAGAAGGATATGGTGTTTTCAATCATATCACATCACGAGTTTCCGAATTTTAAGTGGGACTTTTTTTTTTAAGTGGGACTTAAGGAACGTACTAAAGTGAAACACTATTGATTTTACTTCAACGAGTTCATATTCTTTTTTCCTTTTATCCCCTAATCAAAACCAATTTCCGGTTATATTACCGAGAGGCTTTTTAATCTAGTGGTACCTATGTGCAAAACACTTAAAACATACATAGGGTTAATTTGAATCTTTTCGGGTGAGAAAATAGTACTAAAAGTACTTTTCTAACATACCTATTTTCTAACAATGGTAGTTATGGTTATTTGTTCTCGTTAATCGATTTTTGCGATTTTTTCTTGTCTCGACGACTAGTGAATTTTGTTGTTTCGCACTCGACGACCAGTGAGTGTCTATCTTATATTCTGGTTTAGATATCCTTACTCCTTTCATGTTTTGGTTATCGGTATTTTTCCGGACTTTATTTTCTAGTAACCTTTCGGCCTATGCTTCTGGAGTATAAACCGATTATATATAATATTACTAAAGACGGAAAAAATGAAACATAACAATTGTAGTTGGTGAAAAATGACCACCTAGTTTTAGAACGTAAATTTGTAGAGGCACAAAGAAATTTGTAACGTTGTTTCTAGATTAGTGAACTATGGATTTCTTCGAATGATGCAGGATCTCCACACTAATATAGTGTTAGAGATTCCGGTTTTTCGAACTCAAATGTTTAACATAGTATGTACAAAATTACATATGCGTAGAATTAATCCGGATCATCCAAATAAAAAAAATCAGATTATTCATCAATTTTAATCAGTCAAATCACACGATCTATATTTTAAACTTTGCACGAGTACAATTATTGAAAGCAAGAAAATAAGATTAAGAAATCGAAAGCTGT